GCACAAATTTAGATGGATTTCTTAAAGCAATATGGAAAAATTAATTAAAGAGGATATCCAAGAGTTTCATTCAAGTAAGAATGCAAAGAGATCTTACCATAAGAAACTTTCATAATTCTGTCAACTAAAGAAGAAAAAACTGAAATATTCTTTACAGATGAAGAAAAGAGTTCCATAAACCATGGAAAATTTAGGTTAAAAAAAAAATGAGGGAAAATGACTGTATCTGCAAAATTCAGACGGCTATCTAATGATAAAAACCTGACAAAGAACACGATGATTAATGAATTAAAAAAAAGCATATATACCCAATTTATGTACGAGTTCAGCTCCTGTACATACTGTGCTGTTTCATGCAAGACCTCTGTATACCCAATATACACAAAGTGATAAATATAAACAAGTGATACATCAAACATGTGTTAGTACACAATAAAACATAAACCAAAACTAACATGTAGGCATCAAACTTTCATGATAATTTCTCGCTATCCTAGTGACTCTAAACTACTTATAACTATGTACTTATAAACTACTTCAGAGACAAAAATACTGACAGGTCAGGTTTAGTTCTGTTTTGTTTTTGTTTAATTTTTAATCACATCTATAAAACTACAATTCCAATTTAAAAGTTATTAAGTAGAATATATATAATTGGGTTCTGCGTTATCCTGCTTTCTCCTGAAAACTCAGTTTAGTTTAGAGTTTTTCTTTCTTTCAAATTTACAAAAATTTCAAATCTTGTCAAATTTTACAAGTTATCCAAATGAATCTACAGAAGAGAAATATATGTATATTTCAAGAATTTCAGAAATTATTTAAAAAAAGAAAGTGTACCTTTCTATAAAGATCAAAAGGAAAGGTTCTTCATATAACACCTCTCATTACAATTTGTCTTCACTGAAGACATCCTAAATATACTTGAGATCTCCTTGGATTGATTTCTGTTAAATTTGTATGCATTTCCAGGGACAGTTCTGCTGGTATAACAAAACGGAACAGGATTGATAAATTCAGAATAAAACCGAAGGACAATTTGCCCTGAACACAACTAGTTCCTAGAATGTAAGAACCGGTAGAACGAATTAACATTAGGAGAGATATTGTACAAAAAATTATTTCATCAAAATTTGATAAAGCCTACATCTTTAAAGATAAAATATATTTACATGCAAACAACATAATATCTTTGAAATAAAAACAAGCACCCTACAAAGGAAAATGTGATATATAATTCAATAACAAGTACAAGCTATTGGGAATTTGTAAATGAAATATGTAAAATTAATTTATCAAACACATGGACATACTACACAGGCTACACAGCACTTGCTAATGGTCTGACTTAGGAATGGTTTTGAATTATATACATATATTATACAAACATAAGGAAATGATAAAATCTTACACAACAACATAAAATGATAAGGTCAAAGGTTATACTCATTTGTAAATCATTCTATATTTAGTAACAAAGTAGGCATTGATACAGTATTGGAAGTTGATTCTCAAACAAAAAATTTATATCTTGCTTCATTTACTTGAATAGACACAAAGCTCAGTATTTTTCACAGCCAAAAAATTTCAAACAAGGTCCTAATTCTACTTGAATGTAATTATGTCACAAGTCACCAGCATGGCCTAACGGGCCTGATTACAAGCCAATCAACATCCAATAATACTCAAGCTTAGTAAAGTTTTACAAAATTCTTTGTTATCTGATATTTAATATGATAAACAACAACAAAGTAACCCTTGCCACCTATTCGTTCTTTCTAGATTAAACTTGAAATGATATCATTTCTATAATTATGTTATGAATAAGTATATATTCGACCTAATAGATCCTCTAAGACATATATGACTATGTACATACCACAATTCTTTATAATTCTACGCCTATAAATTATACCTAGTTAAAGCATGTACCTTTATACTGATGAAATGATTCAATATCCACAATCTATTAGTCACAAACTAAAGGTCAACACAATTCTGTCGACTAAAATAAAAATCATTTCCGATTATTTCTTTATAATAAACTAAAATTGATCTAAAATACATGTTCTACACGGTGTTACAGCATTTCCTATACAAACAAAACAGTATAATAAATGGAAAATTAATTTCAATGACAAACCAGGGAAATTTGAATAAAAATAATACGTAAGCTAAAATATATCAAAGACGGATAATTATTTTCCAAATTATATTTTGTTTACTTTTTGTAATAATAATATAAAAATTGTGAAATAGATAATAACAGGAAATTATAATTTATGAATGTTATTATTGTAGTTTCTCTGTTTGATGTTGATACTTGACAAATGTCAAGTTTCTTTTTGGATAATATTCTGGAAACTCTATTTTTATATTGAGTCAAAAGAGCCCTAATCTATGTACAAATGGAAAAAATAATAACAGATCCTACTGCTACATTAACCTAGAAAAAAATGTATTACATGAATTTTTAATTATTTTCTAGGTTAAAAAAGGTCGCAATGCACAATAACACTACCTCGGCAAGAGAATATGAAATAATTCAAATTGAAGTTAAATGTTGGTTTTATTTTTAAACTCCAAATCAAAATGTGACAAGGCATTAACTCATGTATAAAACTTTGTCAACTTCACAAAAAAAAAAAAAAAAATATAAAAAAAAAAAACCAAAAACATTGATGTCTAACAGTAAAACGATATAAAAAGTCTTGACTTCATTGTCTGAATTATTTCATTATCTCCCACATACTGAAACCATTAACACATATATCAAGTAAATACAAAAATGCAGTACTAGTACATATGTACATGAAAATAAGGTTGCCGCTCATATGTTTTATAAAAAAATCTATTTACTATGTTGAATTCAACACTGTTTGGCGTAATCTTACATTAATAGTAAGGTGTCAATTATAGATATCTAAATATCACAGGTAAAAAATGGCGTAAGTCTAGGTTCCGAATTCATCTCTCTTCCATGAATTTCTGACATAAACAACATACCTTGGGTATGTAAATCATGTCTGGAATAATACCTTGGGTAAAATGGTCATTAATTCCTTATGGGTTCCGATGAAATCTGACGAACCCTGACGAATTCTGATGGATCCTTAAGAATTCTGTTGAGTCTTGATAAATTCTGATAGGTCTTGATGAATTCTGATAAGTCCTGATGAATTCTGATAAAATTTGATGAGTCCTTATGAAGCCCGGGGATTGTTGTGGTTATGAATTAGCTGTGGATGACAAAAATACCACTTTGTCAAACCTTTTTACTTATTGCCTTGATCCTAAGGCTAATCACAGCATAAATCCATGGTATAGCATGTTTATCACAAGAAGAATTCTGACCAGCCCTGATGAATTTTGATGAGTCCTGATGAATTCTGATGGCTCCTTTAGAATTCTGATGGCTCCTGATGAAATTTGATGAGTCCTTATGAAGCCCAGTGATTGTTGTGGTTATGAATTAGCTGTGGATGACAAAAGTCCCCACCCCCCTGTCCAACCTTTTTACTTATTGCCTTGATTCCAAGGCTTATCACAGTGAAAATTCATGGTGTAGAATTTTCATCACAATTATTAATATTTCTTTCCCTTATACATTGTTATAGATCGTTATCTGTTGTACAGCTTACTTCTACAAACAGCCACAATTAATACAAATTTTCGACTAACCATTGTCAGGATAGCATCATTGATAAATGTGAAAATTTACGAGAGGGGGAAATTTACGCTAATTACATGAAGGTTACTAGCTTGCCAAAATTTTCCTTCCACATAATTTTCTCGCATTTTGTGATATGCTTAGATTTAATAGACAATATCAAAGAAAAATTGTTTGCGAAAATACCCCCTATGTGCATAGTTTACCCATAGAAAACGTGAAATTAATCCACTGCAAAATTTTCCATGGCTACAGTATATACCATTTATCTTTCAGGTTTACTTCTTAAACTTATGCAAATTAACTTTCCAGAGGAATAATTACATAAATTCCAAAACAGTACTATTAAAGGACTATTTCTATCCAAGTCCCATCAAATGGGACATGATTTTAGCCTGGTCAAACAGAAAAGGTTGCATTGAGATTCTGTATGTCGCTTGTTATTGATATGGTCGTTTTCATTATCCTTCACTGTGAGGGAAACAGCACAACTTTTCTGGTGATTTGAGTGGCACTCTTCCCTCTTAGATTATTTCAAAATGTGGCCAAATTCCCAAAAATATATATCGTTAATTCCTTAAAACTTTCTTCCCGATTGATCAATTCCCCGCCGCCCGCAAAATGAGCTAAAAGGGCCCTTTTTCTAGACAAGTGTAAAAGAGTATTGAACAGTGTGCTTAAAAATGCATGGTTTTATAAAAACAGGCAAACTGGCATCTTTAAAACCAGGTTCAATAAATCTAGCAATTTGTTTTTCCTCAGCGTCTGTTTGAAAATTACTTCTCAAAAGTTTAGTGTGTAAAGTGCTTCTAGAGACCTTAGTCATTTTCAATGGCGCTGCTTTCTGATACTGAAGTTGCTTTCCAATTAAATGTGAACAATATTTTGAAGCATTAACTAATTTCCAAAAATAATCAGGTAAATTTCCTATGCTTGTTGAGCTTTGCTCATTTTTTCCTTAACCTTTTTTTTTTCTTTTTTTTTCCTTCTATTTTTCATATAATGTGGGTACATTACTTCCATATATATCCAGCAGCAAGCCAAGGTGGCCAACATATTTCTGAAAGTTAGGGGGTGGGCTTATTACAGCACAATGAAATGGTTTATCATTTTACCATACAGTAATACAGATTGGCTAAAAGCTGGATACATACAGGAGGTTTACAAACACACATTTGTTTCAATACACAAAACAGAATTCACAAATCTGAAACAAAGGCCAATGTAGATATTTCTTGCACTTTCAGCCAGATTTTGGTATTCTTCCTGAGAGACTTGCAGTTTATCATTTAGTGGACATTAATATTCAATTGGACGGGTCATCATCATATCTTCACTTGTATTCACCGTTTTTCTCAATACCAGATATGATCTCGCCTCGATACGTCGGTTCATATCCATCTTCTTTGGTTGGTCTAATTCTCTTAAAGAACCCACACTGTAAGAAACACGAAACATGTATATTACATTATGTAAACAACTACAATGTAATAAATTGTAAACACATTTGGTAAACAAGTTTCATAGAACAAGGTTATACAATATACCAGAAGTTATTGATAATTATCAGTAACTAGGTTTGTCAGAAACCTGTTATCGAGCGGTAAAATTGACGTGGATTATCCAGCTGGGCTAGTCAATAACCTGTTATCTAGCTGTCACATTGATAGGGGTTATCCAGCTGGGTTAGTTACATGTACCAGTAAGTAGTCGGTTGATATTAGCTTACCAGACAGAGCAGCAGAATCAACACTACCAGCAGGACAATGCCACCCAGTACTGCCACCAGAATAATCCACCAGGCCACACCTTTAGCTGGCCGTGTTGCCACATCAGGAATGGTATATGTGGTTGCCTACATGACAAAATGGATCATTAATGTTCTGTGATCTTGAGAAATGCACCTCCAGATATGACATAGATATATATGAAAAACATCCTTTGTCTCTTAAATACCTTCATGGTCATTAAGAAATATAATTCTTTCTTACTAAAATTCAATGTAGTCTTTTACAAATGGTAAAAACTTCATCTCTTTACAGCATGATGGCATATAATGAAATGATTTCAAATGTTTCAAACAAATAAATCCAGTTAAATGTAGGTCACAGTGACCACAACATGACACACAGATGTAGATCTCTATAAGATCATATGAAGATTTTAGTATATTTAAAGATGCTAATTTTTTTTTGAGAGCATCAAATGCAATTATATAAACAGTACTCACGATAGCAATATCATCTGATAGATCAGGTTGTTCTATATTTAGTGCAGGATCAAGCTTTACTTGACCCCTGGACTGTATTTGCACCATGTCCACAGCTGGGTAGTCTTCTAGAAGAGTGCTCTCCCACAGTCGAGCAACCACTTTGATGCTTGCAGAATCCATTGGACCAAGACGGTAGATCATGCATGTCATACGAAAGCATTGGACATTTTCTTCCTCACAACTCTGTAAAACAAATCAGGTTATGGAATGTACTTAAATTTTCTGAAATTATATTGTTTTGAAAAAAAAATCCATGATTTAGTAATCAGATTACCTATTTAGTAAAATAGAGAAAGGAAGAAATGTCTCAGAAATCAGAAAATGAATTTTACAAACAAACATTCATTTGATATATCTTGCAAGGCTATGCATAAATGCAAACGACCAATTATGGCAACATTTCTGATCATTTGCAGTAAAAGAGCTTTTATGTAATAAAGATTAACAAGCATCCTATCAATAAGTGCCAGTTTGTTCAAATTCAAGTTTTAGGAATAAAATTTCCATCTTATTTCCACAATAATCTATGTGATTCATAACCTAGACACTAAGATAGAGCCAATGCTGTGCTTTTTAAAGAAAAGTTTGTTAAGTTCCTTGTATCCCTTGCTTGGATACCTACAGGTATGCCACACGATTGGAGTACAGGGACCAACTAAGAAATAAATAGCGATCACAACAAGCTCGGAATATGTGATTCTTCTTATTCATTTATTCACCGACTGGTTTCGCACGAACTTTGGGCTTCATCAGGACAACAAAATAGGAAAAGTTTAGACCTAAGGTACTAAACTTCTGGACACCTATTAATTGTTGATAGTGACATTACAAGACAGTCATATGAATTAGACACTTATATCATGTGATTTCAGGTGAAACTGGTCGACGAATAAATAAACAAGAATCACATATCCCGAGCTTGTAGCAATTGTTCTTTAATTCTCTGTTGATTCATAGCCTTATACTGCTACAAATGAGACAGAATGGAAAAGATGTCCTAAAGGAGAAAATAGTGAAAACATTCAAAAGCTCAAACAACAGACTACAGGAAGATGGAACAGCTTGATAATTACACTTAAACACAATTTAAAACCACCTTTGAAATTCAACAGATTCTGGAAGGATTCCAAACACGGCAATATCCTTGCAACACCAGAGACCTTCATGTCATTGAAAAGCATTTACAAATAAATTTTAAAGTCAAAGTTATCACCAAAAACCAAAAGTTTCACTTACTAGAACAACAACTTTTTTCATCTTTTCTCTCTGTTCTGCCAGTCTGATGCGTGATGAGTCATCCACGTCCTTTTCTTCTTGATCTTCTTCATTTCCTTCTGCTTGTCGTCTGCGACGCTGACCAAGAGTTGTATAACCATTTACATTTGTCTGTAGAACAAAAACATGTTCAATTCATCATTCTATTCAACAGCCCTTGATTAATATTACATCATTTAAATCTGAAACAATTTTAAACACAAAGGATAAAATTAAGAACATAACACATTTCTGAATTCTGACTCTAGTTTCTCTAAATCTCCTGTACTCTCTTAATCTCTTGTACTCTCTTAATCTCTTGTACTCTCTAAATCTCCTGTATGATCTCTTACATCACTTTAACTCTTTACATCTCCTGTACTCTAAATCTCTGTACTCTCTAAATCTCTTGTACTCTCTTAATCTCTTGTACTCTCTTAATCTCTTGTACTCTCTAAATCTCCTGTATGATCTCTTACATCAGTTTGACTCTTTACATCTCCCGTACTCTAAATCTCCTGTACTCTCTAAATCTCAGTGATGGGCGTAAAGGAGGTCATGATACGATATATCATATATATATATATAAAAAACATCAACAAATAAAGCAAACATTCATTGTGGAGCCAAAAAATAAAACAGAGAAAGCAAAAAAATCACAACACTGAACACTTAAAATTCAAATGATATTTGATATTAATATACTGACATATATTCTTAGATATTGAGATGATATTAGGTACTGAATGTATACAGATATACTGAGATATATACCAATGTTATAATCCCAGGGTTCATACTCTAAGATTTCATCTCAGGACACAAAAATTTTAAGATTCCATAAGATAATTAGATTTCATATAAAGACAACAATATATTGTAAGAGTTATACAAAATTCTATCGTAAAGAATGAGGAAACTAAAGATTCGAGAAAGTCTTTAATCCAACAATACATCAGCAAGTGGCAGGAGTTACAATAGGATAAGGCTGGAATGAACTGCAGGATTACTGAAAACATCAGGCAGGTCCACCCAGTCCTGGGATATGGGAAAGGTGCAGGAAGGCTTGCAATGAATATTGGAGGAATGGATTAGGGTTTCTTCTGTCGGTTCCATTCCGAGTGGTTGCAGTGCATGTAATACAAGCTGATCCAGAATTACAAAGTTAATGAAACAGTGGGTGGTCGGGTGGCGCAGTGGTAACGCACTCGCCTTTCACCTAGCCGACCCGGGTTCGATTCCCGGAACGGACGTGATAAGGTAAGGGGTCACCTGCCCGACCACGTGGGTTTCCCCGGGTACTCCGGTTTCCTCCCACAATAAGACCTCTCGCGCGCTTACATCCGGGTCAACAAGAGTGATTAGTATAAGTTGACATAACTTGTTTCGCAATTGTTGTAAAATAAATAAAGTTTATATTTTATAAACAGTGTTTCCAGACGATCTCTGACAAATGATTTCTAAAATGTGAATTAACATTGACATTTTCTGTTCTGAAACCATTACAATTAAAATGGATGAAGTAGTTTGTTTGTTTACACAAGATGATCTCTACACTTTGCATGGAGGGGAAGTTAGGAAATCTAAGAGAGTCAATGATGGACAAGATGTCTGTCTGGAGCATGAAGGAAAGGGAGCTGTCCTCAGAAAAGGCATATTATCATCGGAAAAGATGTTTGAAAAAGAAGTATTTCATACTGGCAATATAGACAAATGAATAATGAGTGGAATTTATGGGAAAGTTTGAACTTTAGTGAAAAAATGAATGATGATTCTTTGATAAGATGATTGAATTTGGGAGCTGCATGACAAAATGAGAAAAAGCAAAAATCTTTGTCGTCAGAAGAACATGTCACATGGAAGCTGTAAAAAAGATGAATTTCAATATCAATGGTAAGCATGCACTTGAAGCGAATCATGTCCCTTATTGACACTGATATGCACAAAAAGTGTGATAAAAAATGGAAATGGGAGAGTGATTCCAAGGGAGGTAAGCAGTTGTGTGGACAACAAGGCTACACCATATAACAACTTACTACATTAGTTTGTGTGACATTGTGATCATCAGACTCGAGATCTGAGTCACCAGAAGACTCGAGGTCTGTACCTGTAAACTGGATTTCCGGGGTCAGCTGACAAAACAACATTATAATGTTAGTATGCACACAGCTCACAGAAATGTTCAGTACATCTTTTTCTAAACGTTGCAAATTTGTCTCAAAGTCAAAGACCTTGCTATATGATTCCGATCACACAAACATTCGAATATGACACAGGTAACAGACATTTTAACAAAGGGTTGCTCCTAAACATATACACAAATGTTTCAAGACTGTTCTGAGTTCTAACTCCACAGGTACATCAAATCACAGGGCTGCCCCACTTGTATAAAACATCTCAACTTGAGATTTCCTGAAGTCGAGATTTTCCTCTGCTGATATCTCCTCAAAAACGGCTTGTATAAAATTTTCTCAAGGAACAGGAGGAAGGTATCGGCTAGGATGTCCTGAAATTCCTTGAGGAATTTTCATACAAGATATTTTCAAGGAGATATCAGCTGAGGAAAATCTCGACTTGAGGAAATCTCAAGTTGAGATGTTTTATACAAGTGGGGCCTGAGATGCACATTTCTTGAAAATATGAAAAGAAAATCAACAGCATGCCAATCTAAACTAAGCATTAATACAGCATCTATGCTGTCAGCAGAAATCTAGACAACCACCTCATGCCTGGTTTAATAAATCAATTTATCAAAATGACAAAAAAATACATGCTTACATTCTACATTATGAAAGTAAAATGTAATTTGTGTCATATCAATTTAACTGTAAGGTATTTAATTAAGATAAGACAGCCTTTAAGTTGATAATGACATCTTAGATCTTTAAAGGCTATCATCCAAACTTATTTCCCATGTATAACTTAGAGTTATCCCCCTTATGTTGCCTGTAGTTCTCAGTATTGAACTTCTTAGTAAATAAACAAGGACTTCTAGTGATATAAAATCACATTAATATTTCTTTATAAAACCTAGTAATATAAAAGATATAAACATGTTCTTAAGCATGAGAGGTTATTAGTGATAAATCAAGATGAGGAATTAGCTGTCTAAAAAGCTCCTGGCAAACATCCAATCACAAAATCTGATGTCATTGGAGTGTACCTCTGTTTTGATGCTGATTAAATGTCATATGAAGCAGTTTAAAGATAAGAAAAGATTTTATTGTTATATATCTACACTATAAATACCGATCTACACTGAAAATGAAACATCAATCATTAGATACTTGAAAGATACATGGCCAGCTGATATTTTTTTTAATTTGATACAGAAGATGTATTTGCTGTTATAAGCTCTTGAGAAGGAAGAGAAACTCACATCAACGTTTATAGGATTGAATATAGATGGATCCATACGACTGCAGTCAATATCACCATACTCCTTCTGTAAGTAAAAATTAACCCTCAATTAATGTCATAGTCAGATATTTCAAGAATTTCAATATTTTGAACAAATCGAAGTCTGCAGTTACACGAATGGATTGCATTAAAGAATATAGCCCAACATCTTAATTAAGAGGACTATTAAATAGTATCATTCAGGCAAACTATGATCATGTGACACATTACAAAAAAAAAAAACATAATTCAATTGTAATAATTGATTTTATCAATTTTAGAAAATATGAAAATTCTCTGACAACTACGCAGAAGTAAAGTGAGTTTTGCGATTGTCTCCTACTTCGCTTAAAACTGGGTGGCAACCATTTTCAAATTGTCATGGAATGTGTTTTGTGATCTTTCTCAGAAGTCTTAGTATCCATGGCATCAAGAACTTGTATCAAACTCACTCAGCGGACACTCTTGGTTTTGTTGAGATTTTAATTATCAGTCAGTGGAAGGTATAAACAACTTTGTAGTAGACAACATCACTCGCAAGGTTTTAAAAAGATATCAAAAATGGAAAACAGACCTTTTCAGTTAAAATAACTTTGTTGTAGACAACATCACTCGCAAGGTTTCAAACAGATATCAAAAATGGAAAACAGACCTTTTCAGTTAAAACAACTTTGTAGTAGACAACATCACTCGCAAGGTTTTAAAAAGATATCAAAAATGGAAAACAGACCTTTTCAGTTAAAACAATTTTGTAGCAGACAACATCACTCGCAAGGTTTCAAACAGATATCAAAAATGGAAAACAGACCTTTTCAGTTAAAACAATTTTGTAGCAGACAACATCACTTGCAAGGTTTCAAACAGATATCAAAAATGTAAAACAGACCTTTTCAGTTAAAACAATTTTGTAGCAGACAACATCACTCGCAAGGTTTCAAATAGATATCAAAAATGGAAAACAGACCTTTTTAGTTAAAACAATTTTGTAGCAGACAACATCATTTGCAAGGTTTCAAACAGATATCAAAAATGGAAAACAGACCTTTTCAGTTAAAACAATTTTATAGCAGACAACATCACTCGCAAGGTTTCAAACAGATATCAAAAATGGAAAACAGACCTTTTCAGTTAAAACAACTTTGTAGCAGACAACATCATTTGCAAGGTTTCAAAAAGATATCAAAAATGGAAAACAGACCTTTTCAGTTAAAACAATTTTGTAGCAGACAACATCATTTGCAAGGTTTCAAACAGATATCAAAAATGGAAAACAGACCTTTTCAGTTAAAACAATTTTGTAGCAGACAACATCACTCGCAAGGTTTCAAACAGATATCAAAAATGGAAAACAGACCTTTTCAGTTAAAACAATTTTGTAATAGACAACATCACTCGCAAGGTTTCAAACAGATATCAAAAATGGAAAAACAGACCTTTTCAGTTAAAACAATTTTGTAGTAGACAACATCACTCCCAAGGTTTCAAACAGATATCAAAAATGGAAAACAGACCTTTTCAGTTAAAACAACTTTGTAGTAGACAACATCACTCCCAAGGTTTCAAACAGATATCAAAAATGGAAAAACAGACCTTTTCAGTTAAAACAACTTTGTAGTAGACAACATCACTCCCAAGGTTTCAAACAGATATCAAAAATGGAAAAACAGACCTTTTCAGTTAAAACAATTTTGTAATAGACAACATCACTCGCAAGGTTTCAAACAGATATCAAAAATGGAAAACAGACCTTTTCAGTTAAAACAATTTTGTAGCAGACAACATCACTCCCAAGGTTTCAAACAGATATCAAAAATGGAAAAACAGACCTTTTCAGTTAAAACAATTTTGTAGTAGACAACATCACTCCCAAGGTTTCAAACAGATATCAAAAATGGAAAAACAGACCTTTTCAGTTAAAACAATTTTGTAGTAGACAACATCACTCCCAAGGTTTCAAACAGATATCAAAAATGGAAAACAGACCTTTTCAGTTTAAACAATTTTGTAGTAGACAACATCACTCCCAAGGTTTCAAACAGATATCAAAAATGGAAAAACAGACCTTTTCAGTTAAAACAACTTTGTAGTAGACAACATCACTCCCAAGGTTTCAAACAGATATCAAAAATGGAAAAACAGACCTTTTCAGTTAAAACAATTTTGTAGTAGACAACATCACTCCCAAGGTTTCAAACAGATATCAAAAATGGAAAAACAGACCTTTTCAGTTAAAACAACTTTGTAGTAGACAACATCACTCGCAAGGTTTCAAACAGATATCAAAAATGGAAAACAGACCTTTTCAGTTAAAACAACTTTGTAGTAGACAACATCACTCGCAAGGTTTCAAACAGATATCAAAAATGGAAAACAGACCTTTTCAGTTAAAACAATTTTGTAGTAGACAACATCACTCGCAAGGTTTCAAACAGATATCAAAAATGGAAAACAGACCTTTTCAGTTAAAACAATTTTGTAATAGACAACATCACTCGCAAGGTTTCAAACAGATATCAAAAATGTAAAACAGACCTTTTCAATAAAAAATTACCATAATGTTATAATTTGATTCCTAAGTATATCATTTATCTTGATCAATTTATATTCTGCAAATCTGGAGCAAGTTTGAATACTTTTATTAAAGTTTAGCATCAAACATTTGTAATAGTTCTCTCCCCTTACAGAATCTGTAAAGGATGCTGATCAATGCTGATAGGGTAAGATTCACAGACAAATGAAACAGGCTAAATTTAGTAGTTTCATTGAGTCCAACTTGAGCAGCAATTGAAATATTTGTTATAAGAACAGTTAGAATGCTACATGAAAGTATAACATACCTCGATGTCAATTAAGTATAGTAAGTGTTTGCCACTGTGTCCAGGTAACAAAGGTTTCATCTCATATGGCCAGTCAATTTGAAACTCTGCTTGGCCCACAGTACTGTTACCGTCGTTTAAAATCTGAGGACAGAACAGGAAAAAGCCATCAACATAACGGTATCTTTTACAAACAATATTAAAAACATATATACAACTGTTGCATAACATCAGGTAAAATGATCTCTTCAATGTCATCAAGCAAGAAGTTTGAACAAACCAGAAAATGTCTGTGACACAGTTAAATGTGTATTAGAATCACTGTTTGACAAATTTCTATAAATAGTAATAGTAATCTTGACATTAGCCTTGGGACCATGAAAAAAAAACTCATTTGATGCAATATTACAGCTGAGCTTTTTATTTTTTATTCATTTAAATATTCTGAGAATTAAAGTTGCTGGGGTCATACCAATGGTCATGTAGTGAATTGGATGGTATGAAACAAGAATGGACACAAAGCTACAGACATATATAACAATATATTGGTAATCCAAATCCAGAGAAAATTTCACAGCAGAAAAGATAAGTTTTTTAAGTTTACTCTTCAGATACATAGCTGTTTATCGATAGTGAAATGAAAACAGAACATACATTACAAAATGTTTCAACTGTTAATGTCACATTCTGCTTATTATCACATTTCTCCTGAAAAATAGAATGTGATATTAAGTGGGTTTCAATGTACCTACTTTATTGTACAAAGAGTGTATCAGTGTACAACTAAAGATAAATTGACCCCTCTCTCATTAAATACAAGATTCCAGGCATAAATCCTAATGGACTTATGGTTTCGATACAACCCTTGATAAAGTCAAGGCTCGCAGAAAGATAATGAAGTTGTCACCAGGTCTGTCCATATTCAATATGTGATGGTCCATCTTTCAGTTTTTTTTTTAATTGCAATTTGCAATGAAAAATCAGCATTATGAGTGCAAGGAAGAAAAGGCAACTGAGAAATTACCACATAGGTATGGTTTATTGAGGGACCAATTTGTGCTGCTCGACTGATGGCACTTTCTCCTCGCACCTCTCCACCGAATGTCACATCAGCATCAGGTTTGGCAGATCTATAATGAGAAAACAACCTTTGTTGAGTATCTGATGATGAAAGAATAACAGTGTAGAAGAAGTTAGACAAGGTCCTATTTAATGTTATAATCAGACAACTTTCAAATCTAAATCTGAACTCCAAGAAAGGACAAAACCCTAACGTTAACACAGGTAGAAGTAAGAAAGGAGGAAATGGCTGAAAACTGTACAAAAGATAAATAACTAGACAGATCATATCTGTTCATTATTTTGACAAAATTAAATTTACTTTTGAATCAATATGATACATAATTTTGTTTGTGTGTACAAGTCAAAGCACTAGTGATAACAATTAGGCCTGAATACAGTTAGGACGTTAGACAGAATTTTGTCTACAGTTAAAACTATGTCAGACAATTGTCCAAGTGATTAACCCTCCCAATGGAGATTACACCGCTGAAATAGCTCTGAAATGGTCCAGTTTATTTCTTTATTGGTTGATCATACCATATTTACCCAAAAATAAGCTCATGAAATCAATTTAGCATATCAGTAAATTTTGTAGGATGCTTTTTCTGGTGAAGCCATCGTACCATTTCCAAAATACTGATGAGTCCAGTTACTAAGAGATATAGTAGGTTCTCAAAATTTCAATGAGTCACATCGATAAACCATGAGTCCAGGATTCAGATATTTGAGTCCCAAAAAACAGTCAAGTACATATCTATCATCGTCCAATAGAATTACCCAGAGCAATGTGGCTTCAGCTCACTCCTAACTTTGAGTCAGATCCTGGTATTTACAACCTGTAATACCAACTGTACCATTCCTATTTTAAGGTCATTTGTGTAGTGATCTTACCCAAACACAACCAGATTAGTCTTGGAAACCACCTTCACAGTCATGTTCTTCACATCTTCATTCGGCGTCTGCTCGGAACTTGTCCTGGAGTTAACAGTTAAAAATTAGTCATCTTATCTTTGAAAACAAAATCAAGATACAATTTACAAATATGCTTGTTCTGCAGATATTAACTTTGTAAGACTAGAATTTTTTTTTATATATATATCTTTTAAACAACTTTTACCCATAATTTTTGTCATAAAAAGAAAACTAGTTGATCTTTAATTATTCCATCAAAACTTTTTACAAAACATTTTCGCTCCTGATTAAAATGATATCAAACCATCTTTTAAACTTGATTCAAAAAACACATTCAACTTGTGTGTCCAAAATTTTAGATATTTCAAATAATTTTTACAGTAATATACTGTTAGAACATATCTTTCATCAAAAACCATAAGATTCCTGAAATAGACCTAGACAGGAATCTAAAAGTAATGCTGCCAACCTCGCGTCATTTAATACCTGGTCTAAGCCCTTAAAACAAAAGGTGTGATAGTGAGTTAAAGGGCCATCAGGGAAAACGGCCTTGTAATCTATTCTACTGTATAGTTATCACATCTGGTATTTAGGTGATGTTCTATGCAAAGTCTGAACATTATCTTCACTATATTATGTCTCAAAACTTTTTGAAATGTTTATACACTGAAAACAATGAAAGGCAATGTTAGGTGATTCAAGTCTGAATGTTCTTTTGACTATATCAGATTCAAAACTCGTATTTTAAAATGTTTACATACTGTGGTCAGGGGGTCAACTCATACCCCCCCCCCCCCCCCCAGAAAGAAGACTGAAATAACACATTACTGTCATTGTATAGAACTATGGTACATACGTATTAACGAATGCTTTCATCGAGAAGTAGTTTGTCTTTGGATCAAGGCCTCCTGTTTCAAAAGTGATTGTGAATTCCCTGACAGTGTTCTTGAATAGTGGGTTACCAAGTCCTCCGCATATCAGCAATGTGACATTGAACACAGAACACTCAGGCAAGAAGGAACCCTGGAAAAACAAAATGGTTATCAGCGAAAAAAAACAAAAACAAGAAAAAAAGGAAGAAAAAAAATCACTTTAATGAACGAGTAACTCCCACATTTCCATATAATATAACTACTTATACCTCAGAAATTGGCCTGGTTTAAACAAAACAAGAGGCCCAAGGGGCCTTAACGGTCACCTGAGGAATATATGTCAATAATCTGGGGATTTTAAAATGTTGCAAAAATGTAACAACACTTGTGCAGGACCATGTGCAAAACATCTGTACCAAGTTTAAACATGACCCACCCAATGGTTCTTGAGAGGAAGTCCATAATGTCTTGGCCAAACAGAGGCCAGGGTGGCCATCTTCGGATCAGGTGACCTAATAAAACTTAATTCTAACATCCAATAAATAAATTGTTTTGTTCTCAGCTAAATAATGTCTTTTTGATTGATAATATGTGAGAATGTCGCAGAAGTTTCCTATGAAGGATAACTAAAAATGCATGTATTTCTTATTCATTCCATGGCAAAAAAAATGTATTGTTTTATCAAACACCAAAACATAACAGAAAGCTTCATTACTGGTAGATGGGGAAAAAACCCAAAACATGACAAGGAAATGAGAACAGGTGGACTTACTGTGTTCAAAGCTTTGGAATTTTTGTACTCAAATTCTTCAGGCACAAGAATGTAGAACATTGTCTCATAAGCTGGCTCCCTAGAGTTGGATACTGTGAACTTAATGGTGAGATCCGACCCAATATCTGTCATCACTGGGAAGCCAGTTTTCCCATCTCTGTAAATCACATTGAGTCATATCATCTAACTGTATATTTTTTACATTCAAAGGAATTAACTTCTCCATTCAAAAATATTTTAAGTAAAGAGTTTAAACAACATCTGATAGGAATTGTAGGATATGTTTGTATTCATTAGTTTTATCAGTTGGACCAGAGTCCTTCATTTACAAAGTACGGACAGATATCACTGATCTTTTTTCAATTTCAAGCAAGCTTCAACTAAGCCTTTCAAGGTTTGTACTAATATCTGCAGGTCCAAGACTTATCCTGAAATATTTAATTGAAAGTGCTGATAAGTCAATTTTCCTCAAATGAACCGGCCTTTTAGAGTTAGTCAAAATGATAAAGTTTCAAACTAGTGGGAGATGAACTATTAGAAGTGAGCAAGGCATAGATTTGGCTGGTAACTTACACGTCGTCCAGTAGGACCTCGGCCATTAGGGACAAACTGCTCTCACATACATCATTACTGCCGCACTCCTTGGCAAATGCTATCTGTAAATACAATGTTCCATATCTATACATCCAGTAAAGACCACTTTACAATATACTGTCAAACTTATTTTTTCTTGCTTAAAATTTTCAGTTTTACCATAACCTTCATGTCAACAGGGTCTAGTATTTATGAATATCATGTTAGTGAATAAAATTTCTTGTTATTATAACTTAATTTTAAAGGTAGAAATTTTTATTGGTTTTATACTACCCTCAAAAACAGGGAAAATGATAATCCCCCCGAGAATAATTTACAATATTGATAAATTCCATGTGAACTGATAACAAATATATTCTTATTAAGGACTGGATAACTCCATATTCACTTGTACCCAGACATATATTATTTAGCGTTTCCATTAGAATGATATATTTGTATGTGCATGTAGAATATTTACATATTTATGAGGACAACAAATTTACATTTTTATGAGGACAATATATATTTACATATTTATGAGGACAACAAATTTACATTTTTATGAGGACAATATATATTTACATATTTATGAGGCCAACAAATTTACATTTTTATGAGGACAATAAAAATATTTACATATGCATGAGGGCAATTGGTTTAATAATTGACATAATTCAAATTTGAGCTTTGCCTTTACATAGGCACATCATATACTTCAAACGTTTTATCAACATTTAGAGAAACTGAAGTAATCTATGGGACGGAAGTGTGGAACAAATTATCACAGCTTTTTGCTGGTCTGGATGTCGGCCTTTACATGTCCAGGAATCTTTCTGATGAGTCAGAAGTGTATCATCTCATGTACTACCCAACAACAGATATCAATTAATATTAACATACTATTAAGATGCAATTTAATGAGAGAGCTCTTTCACGTTTTGGTCAAGTAGCGTGATGATAATTTGCACATTAGCAATGGCTACTATAGTGCCATACACAATCTGGTATTAATGTAGTCATATTTTGGAGTAATACTCCCAGCACAAAAAGTGCGAAAATAAAATTACCACCCCAATAAGTATGTTTACAGAATATCCATACAATTTAACCTACTTGATGGCAACTGTGAAACAAGTTCTGTCAACTTGTACTAATTACTGAAATTGATTGAAATTGGACTGCAGCTTACTGTGACTACCCAGGGAAGGCCCCTTGTTGTGGCAGGTGACCTTGTACCTTTTCACATACAATCAATATTTTATTTAAATTTTGCTCTCTTTGGTGAAAGTGTTACAACTTTATCTCTCAAGCACCATATATAAAGTTAGCACTTTCAACATTTTAAGATAGATTTTGTGGTTTGTGCTACCTACCTCTGTGTTTAGTGTGATATCTGTAGCGTCCTCCCCACCTGTCATAAGTAATACAGGGAAACTGTTGATATCAGGGAAAGTGGCCTGTCGTTTTACACGTGTAGGCCAGTTTTCGTCTGGAAGTCTATAGGTAGCCTTGAACTGTACTGGGTGCAGTTTGTCCTGAAAGTTTTCCTGTAAACAAAATATATCGATAGAGATCTTATCTTTGTTCTGTCTCTTGTAAACACATATTAATTTCCATTACTTTGAAAGAGAAGAAGGTTGTATCTAAGGTCAAAGGAAATTTAATTCATATCTGAAAAGTGACCTTCAGATCTCTTTTTAAAAAGAGAATTAAATTTCAATCCATAAAGTTAGAAATAGATCTGCCCTAATTCGTTAATTCGTTTAAGTAACATCTAATTAAAATAAACAGAAACATGGCATCGCAAATGACATAAATCCCCTTGCGGTTCCACTTTGACATAATTGCAATAAAAAAGATGGCAAATTTTCTGAAGTTTGATCAAAATCCATCAGAGGATGTAGGTAGCCACTAGTTGAAATAGTAAAGGTGACGTGGACTCTACAATCCTGCAACTTAAACTCGTCACTGATAATATGGTTCTGTATATGTTAAGTTTGATCAAAACCCCTTGACCTTGACTCTACAACCTTGAAACTTACAACTTGGGACATTATGGTCTTCTAAATGAATGTGAAGTCTGATCAAAATGACGCCGCTGGAGAGCTGGCAAAAAATTACTAAAAATAGTAACCAACACCTTGATTTTGACCTCATCACCCTGGAACTCCCAACTCGTGAGATATTGTTAGCCTTTATTGGCGTGTTTCCTGGGGATGACCATGGATCATCAAAGACCATGCTTTATTGGAATTCATTTTCTTTCTATTTATAGTAACTGTAACTTTTAACTTTTGACCTATTGGTCCAAAATGCACTTCCGCAAATGTACTCTCAATGATCCAATACTGTATGATATCTTATGATTTGTTGGGTCTAGGGAATGCTTGTTACCATGCAGAAACCAATTTTCTATTAATTACAATGAAGATCTTGACCAATGGCATTAGACATGAACTCCCTCATCAACGAAACAATGTTTAAAGTTGTGAAATGGATGGACGCACTTATCACACGCAAATCTCTATTTGTCACATGACTGTCTATTCAGTGATCATTCAGTTATATTGCTGTTACACCATGTAGTTTTAGGACCCCAGGGATAAGATTATGAAATAATGCCACACTCACTGATCACCTAAATTGAGATCATAGATACAGAGAGGAGAAGACATGGAAAAGTGTGTTTTCTCTAATATTTGAAGAAACATATATTCTGGAATATGCTATGATATTTTCCTGCCTAATTGTAATGGATATCTGTCAAGTTTCCATCAAATTGGTAGAGCCTTGGGTTGGAAACTCAAGTTTCCTTAAAATAAATCTCCTTCAATTGTTACACCTTCAACCTAGCTCGGAAAAGATTCTGTTAAGTCAGCTTTAAGCATGTGCTACGGATCAGAAGAAAACTGGACAAAAAACTGGACAGAAAGACATTGTAATCCCTGATATCAGGAATTAATATTGTCTGAGAACAATGTCCCGATTAGATCTGTAATTCATGATACAAGGGGGAACTCTTCACCTTTAGGTAGATGACGTGTTCAAACTTCTCGTTCCGGTTTACATTGAATAAGGAAACAGTTCTCTCAATCATGCCATTCATCCCTGGTGTGGGGTTTGCAAATTCAACACGCTTCCTCTGTTTTGTTGTGTCAGCTTCGATAGTATAGATAATTCTTAAAGGTGAACTGCAAGAAAAGACAAATTTATCAAACGTAAATCAAACAGTTGTGTGGGAAAACATCATTTCATAGCGATTTATGGCTACCAAAAGGAAAAAAAAGAAACGTATGAGAGGTGATCTCCAGTTAAAACTGACATTATGAAAAGAATGAAAGGCACAAACTCTTTCAAATACAGTTGAATCAAACTGCTGTTCAGGAAAACATCTTCATGCCAGTGTGATTTAGCCTACCAAGTGTGAAAAAAATCAGTTGAAAATTACGAGAGATCTCCAGATGCATGAAAGTTTACAACAGATGGACTGACTTTACCATACCATTATGTGTCTCATCAAAATGTTTGTTGGGTGTAAAAAAATCATACAGATTTTAATTGACTTGGTTAATTCATATTGAAATTAAACTGAGTGAATCATCAAGAACTCTGAAACATTTTAATGAATTAAAAGTTAGGCATCATATTATTGTGAATAATTGTTATAATCGTCTAAATGTTGTATTCAGCATATTCAAAACATTTTGACAACCCTACAATGAAAATAAGTTCCGATAAACCTGGAAACTATATGTTTTATTCGATAGATTTTCAATACATTTGAAATTCTTAATATACTTCCTCTTTGTTACATTTCTCACAGACATCTCAGCAACCTTGAAGTCACATGCGACTTTTTATGTATTTTGTTTCACCATGGAATTCCACCACATTCTGTGTTTTACTGACATACATTTCTTTCAAACATTTTCGTAACCTTGAGGTGATAGTGTACTATTCAAGCATTTTTTTCTATGCTGGAATTCTACTAAATTCCACGTATTACTGACAATGCGGTTGATATGCTTACCTCCTAACAGGATCTATAGTGTAGTACAGAGTCAAGGCCATCACAACGCAACGTTTCTTCACTCCATTAAAACATTCGGCTGGCTCGGAAATATTGAACTTGTTGGGTTTCACAGATATGGAAGCGGTCAAGTGAACAATAGGACGCGTCCGAAGGAGAATGGCCTGTCCAGATTCGTAACAGCCCACAGCGATGTCATCATACCCATTTCCATCCATGTCCATACCACCAGAGATGGCATGTCCAAAGGCTTTAAGTGGGGGACTTGTGACAATGTCAGAGGCATAGATCCTCTGAAACAAAATACAGCATTTCAAAATAAGAAAATTATAATTTCTATTAAAAATTACTTTTTCATTTTCATTTTTTAAAGCTAATTTTTGGTGTAAAGATGCCGACTTACTATGCATGCTAAACTGAAGTCAGTGAAACACTGATAACTTATTTGTTAAAAGTCTTTGTTTCTAACAGTCTGTCAGTTGATAAGCTGAAAACATAATATACTTGACTGACATTACATCACAAACTACTACTTTTTCCATAAATACATTTTAATTACCAACCATCTGCCAAGTATCCTATTTACAAGATCTTATCTTAAACAAAACTTTTTTGGCTATTGAAAAATCACTTTACTTTTTAACTCCAAACAGTACACACCAAAATGAAACAGACCGATGCTTTGGAACTGGTGTATAGGGAATTTAAAAGCATTTTTGGCCATTGACATGCCACTTACGACTTCAAATCCAAACAATGCACATTAAATTGAAACTGTAACAGCTTGAAGCTTTGAAACTGTATAGGGAGTTCAAAAGTATAGTCTTGGATAAGTCAACACCAAAATCAATAACGAATACATATAATTATGATTGTCAATGTATATATTTTTGTACCTTTATGTTTCTGTATATATTGACATATTTTTCATTAAAGGTTCTGTTTCGGTTTTATGATTAAAAAGTCTGGTATATGACTTTTCCGATATCCTGTCTAATATGGCTGGCATTGATAATCTAGTGCCAGATAAGACACGTTATTGCTGTGTCTTTTGTCTTCACTTCCTTACAGTAGCAATTCATGGATTACACATGCAAGATGTATGACCAATTTTTGGGACCATTTATACCTGGGCGTAAGTCTCCTTCAGACCGTCAGCCGAGCCATGGAAAAGGTATATAGCACCTTTATCTACACCTTCATAAGGAGCTCCCACAACCAAATCTGAAATACAACACACACTTTCATATCTCTATTACAATAAGCCAAATGGACAACAAAAGACACATAAGTGAATAGAGCCATTTAATACGATTTTAGATAAGATACAGCAGAGTCTCATCAGTGATGCTAAGGACCCAGATGTTAAACCTAGGCAACACTGAGGAGCATCGAAGGTGATCAAGAGAAATGTCAAAACCTAGATGGGCAGATGCATTAGCCCCGTACTTTGGTAAATTGCATAATATATCTGTTAATTTAAGCCAGGGGGAAAAACCAATAACCGTAGTTGTGGGTGGGCTCATAACAGGACAGAGACTTCGTTAGCAAAATAATATCAAATTTCACCAAAGTGCCTCTTTCTTTGGGAGGTATTACAATGGTCATTATTTTTGGTTTTTTTTTTTTTGTTCAGAATTATGTAAATCATGCAAACATTTGATATTAAAGGTTGTTACCTTGGTAACCGTCCAGGTTGATATCCCCAGCCTTGGCTAGAGTGTGCCCAAATCGGGCATCCTTACACATGAACTTCAAACAGTCACCCTCACTCATCTTACGACTGGTAATCTTAATAGGCACAGAATCTTTTGTAATCTGAAATAACATTCATGAAAGTAACATAAATATTTAATTGACATTAATTTCTCTTACAAAAGTTTTAAAATAAACATAAACAACAATATAATTTACAATTTTGGTTAGTCTTTGGCCATGGAGGGTTTCTGCCAAGTTTGAGTGAAATCAGTTCAGGGTGTTTCCAGAAGCAGTCAAAAATGTAAGAAGTTTACAGATGATGCCAGACATAAAGGTATTGCAATAAACTGATATCATCAATGATGTGATGACTTAAATCATCATTAGTGATCTTACTTTGCCAGTAATGATATAACTTTTGTAGTTTTGACCAACCAGGGTATTTTCAGTCACTGAAATGAAATTTGCCAATTTTCCTGTGTGGATGTTGAAGTTGAATAATTTGGTTTTCCATCTTATTAATTAATCCCGAGTACATTTCTAGTTTTCTCTAATTGGGTATATAGAAAGTTTTTGCAAGCCATTCTTACCAGATAAAAATGGTAGAGCACAATGTTGAGCAGTCTATTAAATATGGTGTTTTAACTTTCATGGAATACAAAGAAAATTCTACAGTTTCCTGCTACATATCAGGAAAAGTCGCCGTGACAAACAGTTCTTATACCATTTCAGAGTCGCTTCCCATGTAAATGTAGATGGCGCCACCAATACTTTGGCCCTTCTCTAGGTACATAGGGCTGCCTACAATAAGGTCATCATATCTGAAATAAAAAGATCAACACCTGTAACAACCTTTTGGTCTTTGATGTAGGTACTGTGTGATCCTCGGAGATAGGATGTATTCATGCCAGTGACATCATGACTTCCAGGGTCCAAGTTACATTATGCTAGTCTGCCACGTTTTAGAATTAAGAAATATTCCTTGACATTTTTTTTTTCTAAACAAATAATGTTCTAGCAGATTAAAGTATCCCTAGAACACTGACATTAATTGGTAACAGGGCTCTCACACCCCATTTTGGGACTGGGGCCCGGGGCCCTTAGAAATGGGACAACTTGAGGTCTTAATTGGGAAAAACAGATACTATTTTGCATTGGGAATGGGGCCGATAAATCTGGCAGATCGAGAGCCCTGGGTAAGACAACGCTTAATTAAAGGCAGAGGGATGGAGATAGAAAACCTGTAACTAAACAAGTTCTAGAATTTACACGTGTGAAACAAGCTATCAGCTTATATTAATCACTCTTTTGACTCCGATGGAAGTACACAAGTGGTCTGTGGGTGGAAACTTGATTATTCAGGAAAAAACCCCATGTTGTTCGTTCTTGGAATCAATCCCCAGATAGCTAGGTAAAAGGTGAGTGTGTTATCACTGCGCCAACCAACCACCCAATTACACAATAACACTAGGCTTTTCAAACTGACAAACTAGCTCAAGACAAAGCATGCTTCAAAGTAATATCAATCTTACCTATTCTCTCCTTAGATGTCAAAAATTAAGGATGAGCAGAGCCAAGCTACCTTAATATTTAACCTGAACCAAATAAATTTTTGTTAGTTTGGACAATTTCTACAGCCCTGTATTGCTTTATCTATGCAAAATATGAAAATGAAATTATCATACGGCAGTTTTGACCTCTGATCTGGTGTCAGGTTGATGTTTTATACAGTCAAGAGACGGTCACCTCTCGATTCTCTCGTAAGATAGTGAAATCTCCATCCTACTGTATTGCTTAATCCAATACAATAGATTTGCCATAGACTTGAATGTTTTTGAAATATTTCTTCACAAAACAGGGAGATAAGAAAATCTAATCTAAGAATCAGTGTTATAAATAGGATAAACCTTTTGTACTTAGATATTTGAAATTACTACTAGAACTTACGAATCATCATTGACATCAATGGCTGTTAGAGAATAGCCGAAAGCAGAGAATGGTTCCTCTCCTGTCAGAATTTGGTTGTTCCGGTATGTCAATCCCTTGGTGTTTTTCACAAATAGAACTACTTGACCCTTGGAGACAGACCGAGGGGCCCCACCAACAAAGGTCACTCCATGGGGGTCAAATCTCCCATATGTCACAGCGAATCCTGTAAAGAACCATTAACCAATGAAAATATGTCTGGAAACCAGACACAGATTTTTAACTTTAATAATAATTGGTGCTGGTCTATATAGTATCACTGATGTAATCACTATCAATTCCGTACCTCAAAATAGCAATTATCTTATCTAAAAAACGATATAATCATCGTAATTTTATGCTAAGAGGTAAAATAGAAAATGAAAAATACGAAAGAAACAAATGTGAAATTAATCAATATGAATGATGAAAAAAATTTAAGTTTACACTTATTTTTTACCCAGATTTTGGAAAAGAATGGGATCATCCAGAATATTGAGAAATTCCATTACCTCTGTATATAGATTTTTATACCTGTATCAGTGATGTCACATTAACTTTCATTATCATATCTCATACACACAGCTAATGTAAATATGATATCAGGTGATCTGTTTGGACTCCAGCCAAACTATGCCAATTTTCATCATGTTCCATGATATAACATTTATATAATCATTGACTGATAATAAACACTGCTTTCCAGATCAGGAATAGGTGGTAAGTCATAAGGTTGGGTAGCTGTTCAAGTGTTGGGTGTGACTATGGTCAGGTTTGATGTTGATGAAATGAAGGTGATGTGTTGGCTGTGATTAGGGTCAGGTTTGATGTTGATGAAATGAAAGTGATGTGTTGAGTGTGATAAGGATCAGGTTTGATGATGAAATGAAGGTGATGTGTTTATGAAATGAAGGTGATGTGTTGAGTGTGATTAGGGTCAGGTTTGATGTTGATGAAATGAAGGTGATATGTAGAGTGTGATAAGGATCAGGTTTGATGTTGATGAAATGAAGGTGATGTGTTGAGTGTGATAAGGATCAGGTTTGATGATGATGAAATGAAGGTGATGTGTTGAATGTGATAAGGGTCAGGTTTGGTGTTTATGAAATGAAGGTGATGTGTTGAGTGTGATTAGGGTCAGGTTTGATGTTGATGAAATGAAGGTGATATGTAGAGTGTGATAAGGATCAGGTTTGATGTTGATGAAATGAAGGTGATATGTAGAGTGTGATAAGGGTCAGGTTTGATGATGATGAAATGAAGGTGATATGTTGAGTGTGATAAGGATCAGGTTTGGTGTTGATGAAATGAAGGTGATATGTAGAGTGTGATAAGGATCAGGTTTGATGTTGATGAAATGAAGGTGATATGTAGAGTGTGATAAGGATCAGGTTTGATGTTGATGAAATGAAGGTGATATGTAGAGTGTGATAAGGATCAGGTTTGATGTTGATGAAATGAAGGTGATATGTAGAGTGTGATAAGGATCAGGTTTGATGTTGATGAAATGAAGGTGATATGTAGAGTGTGATAAGGATCAGGTTTGATGTTGATGAAATGAAGGTGATATGTAGAGTGTGATAAGGGTCAGGTTTGATGATGATGAAATGAAGGTGATATGTAGAGTGTGATAAGGATCAGGTTTGATGTTGATGAAATGAAGGTGATATGTAGAGTGTGATAAGGATCAGGTTTGATGATGATGAAATGAAGGTGATGTGTTGAGTGTGATAAGGATCAGGTTTGATGATGAAATGAAGGTGATATGTAGAGTGTGATAAGGATCAGGTTTGATGTTGATGAAATGAAGGTGATGTGTTGAGTGTGATAAGGATCAGGTTTGATGATGATGAAATGAAGGTGATGTGTTGAGTGTGATAAGGATCAGGTTTGATGATGATGAAATGAAGGTGATATGTAGAGTGTGATAAGGATCAGGTCTGATGATGATGAAATGAAGGTGATGTGTTGGATGTGATTAGGGTCAGGTTTGATGATGATGAAATGAAGGTGATGTGTTGGATGTGATTAGGGTCAGGTTTGATGATGATGAAATGAAGGTGATGTGTTGGATGTGATTAGGGTCAGGTTTGATGATGATGAAATGAAGGTGATGTGTTGAGTGTGATAAGGATCAGGTTTGATGATGATGAAATGAAGGTGATATGTAGAGTGTGATAAGGATCAGGTCTGATGATGATGAAATGAAGGTGATGTGTTGGATGTGATTAGGGTCAGGTTTGATGATGATGAAATGAAGGTGATGTGTTGGATGTGATTAGGGTCAGGTTTGATGATGATGAAATGAAGGTGATGTGTTGGATGTGATTAGGGTCAGGTTTGATGATGATGAAATGAAGGTGATGTGTTGAGTGTGATTAGGGTCAGGTTTGATGTTGATGAAATGAAGGTGATATGTAGAGTGTGATAAGGATCAGGTTTGATGTTGATGAAATGAAGGTGATGTGTTGAGTGTGATAAGGATCAGGTTTGATGATGATGAAATGAAGGTGATGTGTTGAATGTGATAAGGGTCAGGTTTGATGTTGATGAAATGAAGGTGATGTGTTGAGTGTGATAAGGGTCAGGTTTGATGATGATGAAATGAAGGTGATATGTTGAGTGTGATAAGGATCAGGTTTGGTGTTTATGAAATGAAGGTGATGTGTTGAGTGTGATTAGGGTCAGGTTTGATGTTGATGAAATGAAGGTGATATGTAGAGTGTGATAAGGATCAGGTTTGGTGTTTATGAAATGAAGGTGATGTGTTGAGTGTGATTAGGGTCAGGTTTGATGTTGATGAAATGAAGGTGATATGTAGAGTGTGATAAGGATCAGGTTTGATGTTGATGAAATGAAGGTGATGTGTTGAGTGTGATAAGGATCAGGTTTGATGATGATGAAATGAAGGTGATGTGTTGAATGTGATAAGGGTCAGGTTTGATGTTGATGAAATGAAGGTGATGTGTTGAGTGTGATAAGGGTCAGGTTTGATGATGATGAAATGAAGGTGATATGTTGAGTGTGATAAGGATCAGGTTTGGTGTTTATGAAATGAAGGTGATGTGTTGAGTGTGATTAGGGTCAGGTTTGATGTTGATGAAATGAAGGTGATATGTAGAGTGTGATAAGGATCAGGTTTGATGTTGATGAAATGAAGGTGATATGTAGAGTGTGATAAGGGTCAGGTTTGATGATGATGAAATGAAGGTGATATGTTGAGTGTGATAAGGATCAGGTTTGGTGTTGATGAAATGAAGGTGATATGTAGAGTGTGATAAGGATCAGGTTTGATGTTGATGAAATGAAGGTGATATGTAGAGTGTGATAAGGATCAGGTTTGATGTTGATGAAATGAAGGTGATATGTAGAGTGTGATAAGGATCAGGTTTGATGTTGATGAAATGAAGGTGATATGTAGAGTGTGATAAGGATCAGGTTTGATGTTGATGAAATGAAGGTGATATGTAGAGTGTGATAAGGATCAGGTTTGATGTTGATGAAATGAAGGTGATATGTAGAGTGTGATAAGGGTCAGGTTTGATGATGATGAAATGAAGGTGATATGTAGAGTGTGATAAGGATCAGGTTTGATGTTGATGAAATGAAGGTGATATGTAGAGTGTGATAAGGATCAGGTTTGATGATGATGAAATGAAGGTGATGTGTTGAGTGTGATAAGGATCAGGTTTGATGATGAAATGAAGGTGATATGTAGAGTGTGATAAGGATCAGGTTTGATGTTGATGAAATGAAGGTGATGTGTTGAGTGTGATAAGGATCAGGTTTGATGATGATGAAATGAAGGTGATGTGTTGAGTGTGATAAGGATCAGGTTTGATGATGATGAAATGAAGGTGATATGTAGAGTGTGATAAGGATCAGGTCTGATGATGATGAAATGAAGGTGATGTGTTGGATGTGATTAGGGTCAGGTTTGATGATGATGAAATGAAGGTGATGTGTTGGATGTGATTAGGGTCAGGTTTGATGATGATGAAATGAAGGTGATGTGTTGGATGTGATTAGGGTCAGGTTTGATGATGATGAAATGAAGGTGATGTGTTGAGTGTGATTAGGGTCAGGTTTGATGTTGATGAAATAAAGGTGATGTGTTGAGTGTGATTAGGGTCAGGTTTCATGTTGATGAAATGAAGGTGATATGTTGAGTGTGATAAGGATCAGGTTTGATGATGATGAAATGAAGGTGATGTGTTGAGTGTGATAAGGATCAGGTTTGATGATGATGAAATGAAGGTGATGTGTTGAGTGTGATAAGGATCAGGTTTGATGATGATGAAATGAAGGTGATGTGTTGAGTGTGATTAGGGTCAGGTTTGATGATGATGAAATGAAGGTGATGTGTTGGATGTGATTAGGGTCAGGTTTGATGATGATGAAATGAAGGTGATGTGTTGAGTGTGATTAGGGTCAGGTTTGATGTTGATGAAATGAAGGTGATATGTTGAGTGTGATAAGGATCAGGTTTGATGATGATGAAATGAAGGTGATGTGTTGAGTGTGATAAGGATCAGGTTTGATGATGATGAAATGAAGGTGATGTGTTGATTGTGATAAGGTTTAATATGGACCACAGAAGCAGTTAAAAGGGGCAGATGGGTAACAAGGACATTCAGAAAGTAACACTAACCCATATAGGATGTGAGGTCGATTGGGCGTGGTTTACGTGTGTCTTCAGTGGGGTAGATGGGAGATCTGAACCATGATAGATCCTTCCTGATGTCATCGCCAGTGTACTGAATCCACAAGCCACCTGAATAAAGTAAAACAGCACAGTCATTATAATTGTGTACTAGTAAAGAATTGGTATCACTAACCAGAGGACAGGTCTCAGAATTTTCAATTAGTCAAATGAAAAATACTTGTCCAGGACAACACACGTTGTTGAAATTATCTACCAATTGGAGGACAGGTTTCTATAAGAGTTAACCTGAGGAACAATAACAACTCAGGGTCAGGTCATCATGGAGTTTAAATCAACATGTAAACTTTCTATCTATATGGCCACATGATCATCACATTTACTATGTTTCTTATGTGATCATTTGGCTACAACGAAAAATAAATGTCATTTTTACAACAATGATTGTGTAGTGACCCCTAGATGCAGGATACCAAATTGGACAAAAATTATCAAGACTGAAGGTACACCACTTTTACTTAAAACGAACTGACTTCCTTTGATAAAGCAGTGAGAGTCTATAAGCTTCAGTAGTAAAGCTTCATCCTCACATTTTGTTTATTATTGATTTAAAGTCTAGCACTATACTGACACCCTGTAGAAATGCCTGCTAGGAAACATACTTTTGTGAAACATGTAATAGGTATTGCAGCTTTGATATTCGTATAGCCAACTTTGTTCCCAGGAAGAAGAAACTCGACTGTATAGAAAAACAATAATTGTCTCGTAACCTTGATGGTGATGACTGAATTAAAAAGGTTAAACTTTAAATATCATTTGTTTTATTAAATGTCACACCTGTCCAATCAACAGCACCTGGTGCTCCCAGCAAAATTTGTTCATCCTGAAAGTAAAAGTCAAAATTTAAGTTTTAAAAATGAAATTCTAAACATTTTACAGTATAGTTTATGGTAATAAAAAATTTGATAGTCATTTTGTCAAAACCAAACTATTAAACACTGTCATTGCTGTCAGATTATAACGTTTGAGGACAAAGGATGAATTTCTTGATAAATGCTTCTGATTGTGAAATTAATGTTTACAAGTCAGTTAAAATCAAGTCACTGACAACTTTTCCCACAAAATGGAATCAATTGTTTCGCTATTCCGTCAGTTGTCGGACTGTTCTGTTAGTGCATACAATATCCAATGAATGACAGTTATTACTTTTTTAAAGTATTGGTAGCGTAAATGAAAAATAAATATGAGACAATAAGTATGCATAAGAAATAATTTCTTTACTAATGTGCAAACATTTTTTTATTGATATTTCAACATAAAGCTCTGAAGTGCATCCTTTGAAATATATGTAATGCATAGTCTTTTCCTCTAGAGAGTTTCTTGGAGAAATAATTTGTTTACTTGTGTGTAAACATTTTTATTGATATTTCAACATAAAGCACTAAAGTGCATCCTTTGAAATATTTGTAATGCACCACCTTTTCTTCTAGAGAGTTTCTCGGAGAAATAATTTGTTTACTAGTGTGTAAGCATTTTTTTATTGATATTTCAACCTAAAGCTCTGACGTGCATTATCTAAGTTGGGGGCTCTCTTGCAATAGTCACAATGGTTTCTATTCCAATCGATTTGGCCTTATCAATTCAACATATTTGAATTTTTTACCCCAATTCAGATATAGTTATTACAGTTATAAATCACAATTTACTTAATGTATTTAGTATTCAATATTAACCTGATGGTTTATCTGACATTTCTTTTCAGTGGCATATACCTGGTGGCCTCACATGGCCACAGGTACACAGCCACAACATGCTGGGCTCACCCAGTATCTATGTTGATCAGGATTTTCAGTCATTTTAAATGTCTCTAGAAATAAACATGCAGAGTAGCCCCTAAGATTGCCAAAGTTTATAATGTAAGTCTGGTACCTGTTTATTGATTGTTTAGTTATAAGAGATAATTTTTTAAAATACAAAAAATTGTACCTTACTTGAGAGTTGGTGTTATTTGTATAAATCTAAAATATATGTAATGCATAGTCTTTTCCTCTAGAGAGTTTCTCAGAGAAATAATTTGTTTACTAGTGTGTAAACATTTTTATTGGTATTTCAACATAAAGCACTAAAGTGCATCATTTGAAATATTTGTAATGCACCACCTTTTCTTCTAGAGAGTTTCTCACAGAAATTTACGAAACGCTTTTGTTAATCTGAACTGAATTGGATATAACTTATGACACATTTGAAAAGGAAGTTGTATGTAGCCTGTGGTAATCATATATATTCTGTATATTGACATTTATTTCCTCTGTTTAAGGAAGTTTCCCAACTTTATGAACTAAATAAAGTAATTGGAGAATTAAAAAAATAAAGCATCTCCTATCATCAGTTGATACAAATTTTGTTAATTTTTGCGAAATTTTACTTTTTAAAGATAAGAATTTTATAACACAAGAGTTAAAATTATCAAATAGAAAAAGGCATGGTTGACTATTGGGAACAATTAGAAGTCTGTTGATGAGAATTTTTATAACACAAGAGTTAAACTATCAAATAGAAAAAAGGCATGTGTTAACTATTGAGAACAATTAGAAGTCTGTTGAAAACTAACGTTCATCATTATTCCAGATGTTCCTGCCTGACAGTATGCTAATCCTTCATTCTCAAGTCCATCATCCCGACACGGACGTCTCTCATTCTCAGGAGTCAGGTCAGGGTTCAACGTCACACAAGTCCCTATACCAACATCATTTGTTGTGTACCTATGTGCACACACCTGAAAATAAATAAAGAAAATGTTTATCTATTATAAAAAATAGTTTTAAGTGCTATTACACAATTACCAAACATTGAATGTGTCATAGCAACATGAATGTCCCCATCACCAACAAACAACTGTCTAGTGTTATAAAGCTTTCTTAAGAGATGTTTTAAAATTCCTGCTGGAATTAGGCAAGGCTATAAAATTTGGTCTTCTCATTTCTTCGTAAAAAATTTTAATTTGAATTCTTGAAGTTAAATGACCATAACTCTGGAAAAAAGACACTTTGAAAAGATAAATTCTTTAGCCCTCTTCTGCCCATGAAATACAATTGTTTCGATATATTTCTAATTTTTTTTTATTTATTTTTTAGGTTAGAGTGGAAGACTCAACATCTTCACAAAATTTCTTTTTCATTGGTGTAGAATTATTATTATTATTAATTCAATTTCAATTTCAAGTAAAGGAGAATTTTTAAACATTTTCCACAGGTGACTCACCAATACACGTTTCCCTGTTTGTGTGGTACTACTGATGGTGGACCCCATCCATTGTCCAGCTTTTTGTCCATCATTACTTATACTATTATCTGTAATTAAGGATGAATACATCTAACTCTTTCAGGAAGCATAACTACATATTATAAAGGTCTGCAAGTATCAAGTGTCAAAGAGCCTGTTTAATAGTGATGTCAGGCAATCCCCTGACAAGGCTTAAATAATAGGGGTAGGGGCAAAAACAAAAAGGGCAAAAACTCTGGTAAAACATGTTACTGATTCAAGATACAACTAGTCTTGATGTAAGCCCTTTAAACAATAGCATAGCAAATCAAACTTTACAAATATTTGATTGCAAATTAATAAGCAACTTCAAAAATGAATAAAAAAAATACTAAATTTCTTGAATTTAACACAGCATAAAGACAATTGACCTGCCAGTTTCTAAATGGCTTAGGACCTGCAATATGATAACAGTCTTAGGGCTGTGAATATAGAAAATTATTGACCAGATATATGTCTTATTATTGAATTTCATTAACTTAGAAAAAAGTTGGTGTTCTTTTTATAGAGTAAAAACTTTCCAATGCATATATAATCTTCATATTACCTTTGATTGTCCCAGCCAGGCCAGAGACTGGCCAGACCGGAGTTTTAACTGACCACTTCCTCAGAACTACTGTACAGGACTAAATACAGGAAGTAGGTGGTATAAGTCAAATATGTGAATTTATAAGATAGTGTAGAGTCAGTATTATCTCCAGTGACCCTTGTTACTAGTACTGGACTTTTACACTGACCAGTTGTCGTAAGTCAATAGATCATACAGATAGCCATAAGCACCCGTGAAATGTAGCAATATCACTTATATGGGTATTTCAGTAATGAGAGAATTGAGAGCAAGAAGACACCTTTCAGCAATCCTCCATACAGGAGTTTTATCTGTGGCAGGAAAACTGCTTTTTTCCCCTTTAAAATGATCAAATTAAAGTTGCTTCATTTTCTGTTCAGAAACTGATTTCTTATCTACACTCAAACACATGGACCAGATGGGGAGTATTCTGAGATCAATAAAGCATTCAGCCCTCCCCTCCTCTCTCTAAACTAGTTTCATGTCCACATTTTTATTGATTTATTTTGGAAAGCACCCCCAAAATCAATAAACTTATCAAGTAGCAGAGTTAATTTAAGTTACTGAAAGTCTGAAGTATGCTTTATGGGTCGATTCCAATATACACTTTCACACTTGAGATCATTTGGATATAGCAATCTACAGCAACACAACCATTTTTTTACCAATTTTTCCACTGAATCATTACATCAGTGACTGAAAACCATCCAAATGATGTTTACCGCGTCCTCACGAAACAAGACCCATAATGCATCAACATCTAGGCTATAGTCTACCTAGCTATATCCTTTGAAAAAGATCATGGAAAAAAAAATCACATATCTTTTCCCTAAACATTCTGTTTTATCCCAGAACAGATAATAACAGACAGCAGACCACATTATGGTTGTCCTCAATGATCCATACCAGACACAGAATCAAATTTACCTTGGATGAGACAGGTATGCACTTCAACTTCATAAAAGATAACAAAATACTGAAAGTGCATATCAACAAAATAAACTTGTCAGGTGAAATGAAAAGAAACATCCATGACTCTTATTCTCTTATTCATACCCCCCCCCCCTCCCCAAATATTCAAGAAAAAAGAATATCAAGGTAACCTGGAAAGCTATACCTAACAATTTTTTTTCCTTGTATATACTCACCAATATCTCCTAATAGCTCACAATCATCGGGGTCCATAGACTCTACGTTACATTTAAATACGCCTCCTGTCTTTACAGTCACATTATCAATTGAAGTGGTCAACAAAGGTGCTCCAACAAGTATTCTGTAAAATAAAAATAGAAACAAACCTGTTATCTTTTTGTTTTTCACATAAAAAATGGAACAAACTATAATCAAGTTAGGGAATCAATCACAACAGCTTCGGAGTAAATAGATGTGGATTTATTTTAAACCTTTAAATGGTTTCGCCCTCGCCGGGCTTCACACTGATGATAATTTTCATCATATATCTGTAGGACAATCATTATATTTTGAATGATATTTTATTTGGTAAGACTCAACCTACAAAGTAGATACATATGCCTGTCTAACTGAAAGCCTTTTGATCTCTCTGATACCAAGTGTTATGTTATATGCGTATCAGCATCTGCATATCCTTCAGCGATGGTACTGATAAACGGGACTTGAGTAAGTCTAGCAGTGATATCAGTAGTTGGGACCAAGACCAGATGCAATCACTTATCTCATTTCACGTGGAGGTTGGCAGAGATCAAATACCTGAGATGCTTTTTGTGTATATAGGTGTGTATAGCGAGGAAAGTCTCCATCCATATCACTACCAACTGAGGGACCGTTTCAAAACATTGTTGCAGTGACACATCACATTACATACATAAGGTTGACATAAGGAACTCTTGTCGGTGACAATGCTAATGACACTAAAAGTCATAAAACTTATAATTTATACTGTAGTAGCTAGCTAGCCTTCTGGCTTATTTCCAATTTCATGTTTACCTGTTATCACAGGTTGGTATGTAAATAAATTTCCTTTTCAGACAGATCATCAATTATTTTCCGTTCTTTTTATATGCAACACTCTAAATTAACATTCTTTTCATTAGTAAAACTATCCCCATTTCCAACTGAAATGATTTCATATTCAAGCCAAATTTGAAAAATTTGCCACCTGTACCTGAAAATTTCTTTCCCAACTCAGTAATTTTCTTTCCAAATGGAGGCAAAAATGATCAATCCTGATCAAATAAGAACAAAAACCCTGGTTCCACAGATACATCTTTTTAAAAATATTGTCCAACATATGACACAAATGTTGAAGTCCTTCACTTCAGCTCCCATCACCTCTCCAGACTCTCTCCCAGTACTCAAGTCTCTACATATATCTTTTATCCTTTCCTAACCATTTCCCATTCCCCCTGGGTAAACATATTCCTTGTCAAATGTTTCTCTCTTGTTTCACTCGAACATCAATGTCTCTACGACATCCTCTAAATGATTCCCCTTTAACCATAACCCCTTTCATTGCCTGCTAAAACACCCCCCGAGACAGGAAGATAAAATCAGGTCCATTATCAGTCAATATTCTGGTTTCGATCATTAAAGTAATAAAATACAATAGCAGATCAATAGAGTGTGTAATAGTCTCTGTATCACTACCATAATCAATAACGGACCAGCAGTCTAGAACCTTGTGTAGTTATGACTGGATTGGTTTACAATCAGTTTCAGTCTGTCTTTTCTATGCATTACTGATACGAAATGATTATCATTATTCTTTCCTAACCACATAATTGCAATTCAAATACTGTGTGTTTCCGTAGAGATGACAAATCAACAAACACTCAGTCTCTGTGAACCAATAGCATTTTCCATTAAATTCTTATTTAAATTCAACATTCAAACAATGTTAGTGATGACAAGACTTCTTGGTGTTTTCAGCTAATAAGAACAATCATAAAGGGAGACAATCCTTTCAGCAACATGTGGCCCCTTTTATGTATATCTTATCAAATCAAAAGACTGAAAGGAAACTAATACTTGTGGAGATATATTTAAAAAGAAAAATATCTTGTTCTCACAACTCCTCGACTTCTATACTTTTTTTCATTCCCTACACTTCTACAACCTCAAAGACACAGAAAACCTAAGTTCTTGGTACCAAAATGAAGTCTCATAATCTACCATATAGCTCACACTTGAAATGGTCCATAGCATCATATAATAGAACGAAGGGAAATCAAAGAATGAAAAAAACATCCCATAGTGACTGAGGCTTGAACTATTGGCTCTTAAAACACATGCCCTATCACATTGGATCTAAGATCCTTCTAACCTTGAAATGCTGATCTGTCCACCTCTAAAGACTATTATAAGCCATATACATAAAACCAAGGAATGCCATCTGATAGTGGTTCAATTGTGCTCACATTCTGAACTTTTTCTGAAATTCTGATCTGTCCATCTCTGTGATATATTACACACACAATATGACATCATATAATGTCATTTAGTACAAACTGACTTTACATTCTGAGTTTTTTCTGAAATTATCACCATTTCTATAATATAATTTATACCCACAAATGTACATGGTAACATTGGTATTACTAATATGATCTACACACATTGACAGAAGCTGTCCGGAAATCAATTCATTTTGGATGTATTGTTATCAAGGCCATTTGCAATTCAGCCTCATAAATGTGAAAATGATCTTTATTAATGAGATATGCATTGACAGATTCCATTACAATCAATCCATCTCTGACTGACAAAGACAGATTATACATTATACATGTATATATATATACTATGACTGGTTTAGCTGTAAAATGCCATATAAATTAAGGGAATAAGTTACATGTACATAACTCCTGTTGGATGACTAAGAAATTATATACTACAGACAATAATTTAATTATTATTGCTCTTGCCTAATAATTGATTTCCAAGGGCAATTCTATCACACAGTGCATGATTATAAAAACTGATAAATGTCAACTTGAAATTCCTAAATAATATTGTGAAATTGTATTAATTGATAATTTGACACTACAGTACAATTATATAAAGGTACACATTTTGAAATTTAAAAAAAAAATTGAAAAAAAAAACATTCTTTTTAAAAGTTTGTGCAGATTAGATTTCAATTTTTCCCAACAGTTGATTGAGTTGGATATTCGTTCATATTATATACAAATGAATGGAAATTAGTGGGAGATATGCATACTAAAGTTATGGTAATTATTACTGAAATGAAATTCATATTTTCTCAATAATTGATTGGCATGATGGAAACTGTCAGTATATATTTACAGGCCTTTTGATTCAATGCAGTTGACCCTTCTCCAAACAAGTCAAAATACACTTTCCCTGAAACTTCAAGAATCAAAATACGCTATAATTAGACAAAACCTTCAAAGCTGATTAATACTAGGAAGTCAGAAACATGCTCCCAATGGTTTCCAGAATAGGCTCTCTGACCGCGGATAGTATGGACCTTTTTGCTGATGAGTATAAGGTATGAATGGCCGTGTATAATTTGAGCCTGCTTTGTAATCCCTGGTGTATGTAGCAAATGTCAGAGCAGAAATATAGTCTGACCTGAATATGACTAGAGATAAATACATCACTTCTAACTAGGAGCTTGACAAAATCATGCCATCATATAATTCATACTCATCAGATCAGCTTCATACACACATGCAAAGATGGCAACCAGCAGCAAATTTTAGGGAAGTAGGGAAATATTGTATCATTATATTCAGTGCCATTTTAATTAATAAGATACTTTTCAAAAGTATGTTTCATTGTCAAAACACAGCTCTATATATACAAGTCGTACTAATTAAAACATACAAGAATGCATCTGTCACAGCATTTAACTGAAGACTTCGATGATTTGAATATTTTCAAACTCAACAAGTTGTTGCAAAGCCACAATTACAGTTTACAAGCAAATGAAAAATATTGAAGAAATGATAATTGAATTGTGAATTTTGAGTTGACAATACTCTTATAGAAATATCACTACTATCCCAACCACTGGGGGAAATAAGCAGGCTGTGTTATCGTCAGTGGAACACAGGGGGTTGAATTACTAGTATGGTGTGCAGACAAAAGACACACAATGGACTACCCTATGGATTTTTGGGGGGAAATAGAGAGACAACAGCTACACATTGATTTGTTGTTACATTGGACACTGCTGAAAAATTAGATCTTGGATATATTTTTTCTATCACAGTAGGGGATCCATCTACATTCAGGCCAGTTCTGGGTTTTCTGGAGCCAAGTCATGCTTGAGATAACCCTTATCAGCAGGCAAGATCTATTCCATTACTGTGACACAGTCATTTCACTCAAATAACCAACACCTACTCCAATCAAAAAAAAAAAAAAAAAAAAAAAAATTTCATTGAGCAAAAAATGTTAGCAGAAATTTCAATTGCAATATGCCTGTATCTAACATTCAAATGTGTTTTTCCAAAATACAACTGGCCTTTGGAAAAACATGTAAACTACACTGCATATGCACATAATGAAATTTGTAACTTTGTGTGTAGCACATGCATGTTCCATTGTGGATTATTTTCTGCAAAAAATATTCTTCTGTAATGTAAAGCACTGCAATGATTTAGTTTCCATCAAAACTTGAGTACAAATCCTGGTCACAGCACCAGTCCAATATAGGAAAAAATAGCCCATAGCATGTATTACTCTGCTGATGATATCTAGTTCAACACATCACCACTAACTTGAAGAGAATCCTTTTCTAGCTGATGACTTACCTGACACTTCTCACTATGCATAACCTATATAAACCAATCTGAGTTGTCTCCCCTTTTCTTTCTCCTTAGTTTTAATGCCTCCCTGATTCAATTGCAGACTTGCATATGTCTTCTTTTTCTTTTCAGATATCATGGTGTGTTACATATTGCACACAATGTGGTTAAGCCCATTCACAAATGTACAAATGAACACACAACAAATGCTGTTTCCTTGTACCCTGATAAGCCCACCCCTGGCTTTGAGTCAAAGACATACTTTGACCCCCGAGATTATTACAAGATACTAACAGTACCAATTCTTTGACCTTGTAAATAACTATAGAGGTTATTACATTAATCAGGCTTATGTTTATTTTTCTGTGCTTTGATCATAAATGTCTGACCTTGTACACAATTTGCAGGTTTTTCAAAGATGTTTTTAATGAAAAGCAAATTCCCCAAGCCATGAAAAGCCTTTCTGTGAAAATTTTCTTAATTATTTACTTGGCAAACAACAGAGTTCTGGTGCACCACA